ATGCCTGTTTCGATGCTCTTACGTGTAAGGCTACAAGTGCTGCACCAACTAAGATGCATGTCATGTATATTGCCTTGGTGAGCAGTCCAGGCAACCAGAGCTTTGATCTAATCTCTCTGTTTTATTCTTGATTCCACTTTTTAAAAACTGGAGCACGAGATTTCAGACATGGCACTAAAAGATTTGACAGCTGTCATTTGATACACAGATATTATTGTCCACATCTTATAAAACATTTGTTAATTACTTTTAAGTTGCATAATAAACTGTGGATCCAACATTATTTGCCTAGTCAATTCTGACAAAGCAAATAAATGATTTCCTTTTATATTCATGATGCAAATTACTGTGCATTGGTATATATATTCAAATATAGTGAATGGGCAAGTCTCCATCCCCTCAGTCACACACACATTCACTCAGACATGCATAAGCTTATTGACATCAGTAAGACCTTAGTCTGCCAATCCATAGACTTCCCAATCCATGAATTTCAGATGCCTGACCAACAGGCAGGAGAATTAATAATAAAGTCTTTAGGCACCCGCACATAAACAGAATGGGCCAAAGCTCTCCCTTTTTGACTAGAGAGAAACCAAGTTAGTCATTTTGGAATCCTGGCCTCAAAAAGGGGAAAGAGTAAAAACAATAAAGGCTTGCTCAGACAAACCCCAAAGGAGATTCTTCTAACAGCCAGCCACAGCTGGTGAAAAAGGTTTGGTCTTGAGAAAGAGTGGCAAGAGATTTATAGGAAGAAGATCTGAGAGAAATCCTGGATAGAGGGATCTCTAGGGAAGGCAAAGAAGGCAGAGGTGGGTCTCTGTTATATCTCTACAGAAGAGGGAGTAGACTGGAATGGGAGTCAAGGAAAACTTGTTCTTAGGTCTCTGCTCTGAGAAAGATACCTCTGGTAAGGAAAGCTGTCTAGGACAAGGTTCCTCAACCTTGGCAACTTTAAGATGGGTGGACTTCAACTCCCAGAATTCCCCAGCTAGCCTTGCCTTGCACCTGTCCACCCATCTGAAAGTTGCCAAGGTTGAGGAACCCTGGTCTAGGAGATGCAGAGATGGAAGCTAGCCACAGGGCAATTTCTTTGTAAGATGGAGAGGAAAAACTAGGGGATCCAGGGAAGACAGTTGGAAACTTTGCTGTACAGCTCCCTGAATCTCCACTGTCCAGATAAATATGTTCAGTTACAATTCTCCATCAGGACATTATGATTTATTTCAGTGTGTAATTTTTTTTCATATAGTAATTTCTGCAATTTTTGTATCGGAAGTTATATTCTTTCCACATGGGCAGTGTATTATGTGTTGTTACACGACTTGGAACCTCATTATATCAGAGTGGGTCCAAACAAGAGCAGGTCAGTAAACCAATGCATGGTCTGCTTTGCAGTCTTACTTCTCCTTTCTACCACTCTATGAGTTATTTGTTTTCTATGCAGTCTGTAATTTTATCAGCACTAAATGTCTTCTTCCATGCTCTTATAACTGTCTTAGGTACCTGACTATCTAAGACTAGAAGGAAGTTTTATTTTTACCTTTTCTCATGTTTTATACATTTAATTTTAAAAATATAGCTTGGTGCTTTTGTTTCAATTTTTCTTCGAACAGCAGGGGGATTTTTTCTTTGGCCACATGCGTCAAAGCTACTAAAGCCAGGAAGCAGTGCTACAGAGTTCCTCCTCCTCCTCCTCCTCCTCCTTCATCATTAGCATCACCATCACTACTGTTATTATGTTGAACTTACAGGCAAATAAGTACTCAGGCTGCGAGATTCCCTATCATTCTCGCAAACCAGTGTTAAATGGGAAGAAGCCAGACAAAGCAAGTCCCCCTTCTCCCAAGATAGATGGTAGCAGCAGGAAAGTACTATATAACCCAGGAGCAGCAGGTGAGGCAGACCAGTGTGTGTAAAACCCAAAATATTTCTGGGAGAAGAGAATGAGACTTCTCCCCATCTTGCACTTGGTGGCAGCTTAATTGTTGACATATGTCTTCAGAATTGTATGCTCATGGATATTCTTGAAAAGACAGTGATACTTTAACCTATACCAGTTAAGTTTTCATAGAATTTTTATTGAAAGAATGCTTACCCTTTCAGCACACATACACGATACTATTATCACACCTGCTGATTGTGTAGAGAATGTTATTATCTGTTAGGCTGCTGACTCAAGACACTTGCAAATGCTAGACTGAGCTAACTGTTGAAGGCTTAAATCATCCAATGATGTCTCATCATGTTCTGTGTCATTGTGTTGGGTGACAGCATAGCCTTTTTACCGAAAAAGAAAGAGCATAAACTGTAGAGAAGCTAGATCAACCCTGTCAAGAAAGAGTGGGGTAGAAATGCTCAAATTCAAATACCCTTCAGATATATATATGTGACAGTTTCATATGTGCATCTTCCATATAAATTTTATTCCAGCTTCCTAGTCTGCAACTTAATTCAAATATTTAATTCATCTGCTGTGGAGGTTTAACTCGCTAATTAATTAATTAAAAGCACCTTTTCCTAACTCACATCCTAGGATATATTCTAGGCTTCATGTGATTATATGATGGTCAACTTAATGAAAACCACCAAGAAAATTGATGTAAGCTGAAGTGCTTCAGATTAGGTTTGTTTGTGTCACTTTTCAGTAATTTGGGGAAAATAGTGTATTCCTTGCAACACAAACTTTGATGAGTTGGACTCATACCAAATCACATTTGGTTCACAGTGAAATCAATGGCTAATTATTTCTCTTGATTTTGATGTGTTTGTATAACTTTATATACAAATGATAGACCAGTTGCATACGAACTTGTTTTTCATAATGTTATCATTTAGCATTTTTTGCATAAAAGAGAAAAAGCACAATACAAAGGGCAAACTAGTGCTTATTTCTTTATTAATTATAAGGTTGCTCAATTATATCACAGGACAGGAACTCAATGTAGTGTAGTCTCAGAAACATGGCATGGACTTATGCAAAAGAAACTCATGTGGCTTCTTAGAAGAGGTGGCTACAGGTCTGCCAGTTATATTTTCTTTAAGCAGTAGATTAGTTCCAATAATGTCTGCCAATGGATACTGTTCTAACAATGGAGCAGATTCATTACTGTACAACATCTGCTTTGGAAAGTTATGACATTCTCAGGGGCAGATTTGAGACTCATGGAGAGAAGGGGATGTGGAGAAGAATGAAATTATATTGCATAAATACATTCATTTAACTTTAGAGGTAATCCATAAGCTTTCATTTATAAGGATGAGAATTTTGAAATATTAAAATTACTTCCTTAAAGATAAAGATAAAGCTGCTTAATCTTTATGATTCATGAGCATTGGGAATTATAGTTCTATGATTTGTTCTG